GGAAGGGTGCCTAGCAAGACGGCTGCTGCCCCTGCCCCTCACCACTGACTGGCTGTGAGGTCTGTGGCCCTGCTCCTCTCCATCTATCAGTGGTAAGAGGCAGGACCGCATGAAGGACATCCCTCGCAGCCAATCAGCAGCAAGAGGCAGGACTACCTGGGCCCCTCAGCCAGAGACACTGAGGGGTGGGCCTGCCACTCCCTCTGTGAAAGTGGCTGCCAGCCCCACAGTCTGCCCGTGAAACTGGCCAGCAGCCACTTCAAGTTCAAATAATTGGGTTGAAAGCTTAGTGTTGGAAAGGACCTCCGGGGTCCCCTTGTCCAACCCCTGCACAGATGCAGGCTGCACTACTGTTAAGACATTCCAGACAGAGGCTCCTCCACCCTTTCCTTAGAAACCTTCAGGGAAGGAAATTCCACAAATACCTCAAAAAATCAAAAAGTCCCTTAATGGACAGATTGGGGGATGGGGAAGGGGTACTAGATAGGTCAGTGAAGGCAAAAAAAACATTACAAAAATAGTTCTTCTGCCTGCACTGCCCTCAAAAATTGCTGCAGTTCAAATGTAGGGTTGAAATATTATGAATGGGGAGCTATTATGAGAAGAACCTCTATGAAATGCACATTCCTGCACCCTCCAGCCCATGATAAGCCCTGCAAAAGGATAAAGAAGGTAGCCTGCCTCATCCTTCTGTGCAGGCAGCAGCTGCAGCCAGTGAAACCTTTCTCTTCAGACAGCAAGGAAGTCAAATCATCAGTGCCCAAAAGGCTCCTATGTACAACAATTTGGAGGAGGTTTGGCTTGCCGTATGCTGCCCTGAAAGTGATAACAAACTTCATACACCAGGAGAATCCTACCACATTCTTGTGCTAGAGCAGGGGTGGGCAAAATGCGGCCCACCAGGCCATTCTATCTGGCCCACGGGGCCTCTAAAAGATTTAGAAAATTAATATTAATCTGCCCTGGGCTGCCTGTCATGTGGCCCTAGATGGCTTGCCAAACTCAGTAAGCGGCCCTCTGCCCAAAATAATTGCCTGCCCCTGTGCTAGAGTCAAGACCCAAGATGCAGGTGGATGACTGCAGTTGTCAACAACAGGATCTGAGCCAAAAAGTCATGCATGTACTACAAAAAGAAGTTAGCAGAGCAAATGAATACAAACACATGCTGCTGCTAATGCTCCTTGGGTTTCTGCTGACTGCCAGACCATTCCCACGACATTCTGGTCCTTAACTCCAAGTCCTGAATGCCACTTGTTTTCACCCCAACTGGAGAGACTACAAAGCAAGCCATTCTATAGGGGGCCCTTGTCTGTGGAAAGCAAATGCCACCAGTGCACAGGTATCCAGGTTGTAGCCATATTCATCTAGATGCAAAAGGACTCAAAATTCATGGTAGAGGTGATATCTTTTATTAGACCAGCTAGATATTGGTGGACAGAGAATTCAACTCCTGAACTGTTTAGGTTACAATGCAGACTTTGTTCTTGCAGCAGCCCTTTCCCCCAAAAGCCATGAAGCCACTGAATCTCAGCAATGCAACAGTGCTACAAACCAGCTAAAGCCCATACCCCTTGCCTAAGTAGCGCCTTGCACATGCATATAAGGAAACCCCCTGCTCAGCCAAGATTGGAGGAAACTAAGCAGTGTTTCCCATCCCCCCAGCTCTGATAACAGCTACAGAGAGGAATATAAATGAATGAAGGCACAAATACGGCCGAGGGCTGCTCATAAGGTATTTTTCTCCATACACAGACTCCTGGCTATAGCTGTCCCCACTTGGAAAAGCCAAAAATAAATTCTCATTACCTGTTCTGTGCCAACCACATCCACATCAACATCTTCACCTACATCTTCTGAGAAGTTTTCTGCCTTGATGATATCTTGGCTGAAATGAAAAGCCAAGTCGTTTAATTCCTGTCCCCCCTCAAATTATGCTCAATATGCTATAGAAAGCTAAGAAGTGGAAATAGAGACAGTGCCTACATGCTATGAGTTGCTCTTAAGATTCTTGCATAAAGCAGCACAATATCTTCCAAGTGAGGAAGCACTTCAAGTGTTCTGATAAAGAGGAATTTTGATTAAAGCATTTCTAGATAGCAAGACACACTACACTTCCCAGAGAAGCTGTTACCCCTCTGGTTTATTTTGCCTGCCAATTTTATTTTTCTTACATTTCAATAAAAAGGAGTCTGCTAAGTCCACTTAAAACAGGGCCCACTGCCCAGAATAGCACTTATCTGTCTAGAGTCCAAGTTACCATTACATGTGACCCTTTAACATTTCTAGAAATGAAAGCCAGAGAAAACTATTTCTTTTTCCCCCTCTTTGTTTCCTTTGGTGTGCCAGGCAGAACTTCAGAGTCTGGTGGGAACCCTGGTCTTGCTAAAGATGCTCTGCACAACCTCTGTTACACCGGTTTATGGGGAACTACAGGCAGTATACAAACCCAGGTCTTCCCAGAGGTCAGTAACAAAGCAGCAGAGCTGCTACCACCAGGAGCACACCTGCTACTCTTAGCCTTCTACAAAATGGTGAGGAGTTAAGGGCCTGAGTTTGAACGTTTTCTTTACTCCCCATACACCAGGCCAGGAAGGACAATAGGCTGCCTGAAACCTAGTGGCATGAGCCAGGAGAGACCCAATGTTCTCTTCACAGCATCCTCAATGGGACTAGGAACTTAAGTGCAGCAAAGAGCCACTTTTTTCTGTCTCAATCCCCACCTAGGACCAGGCAGCAATGGAAGGCTTGGAGTGGTAGGAAGTGTGGGAATTCTTGGATGTTTCAGTATCACTCTGAAACAGAGATCCAAGTAATGCCTTGATGTTAGTTAACTGCTTTGCGTCAGCATTGAGCACAGCCTCACAAGACATATTTTGAAGACAGACTCAGTGCATCCAGTATAACGGTTTATACAGTTGCCTGTGTCCTGTTTAATTTCCCAGAAGCCCACAGGCACAAAGAAATCCCAGGGGTCACTTAAAGCGTCTGTAGAACATGCATCCCTCACCTGCATCTTCTCTTTGGTCCCGCTGGACACAAGAATGGCAGATATTCTGGGTGAGGAGTTTCTTGAGCCTTCAACCTCTTTCTGCTCTTCCCTGCTGGGGAAGCAAGTTGCAAAGTACACTGGAAATCTGGAATTTTGTTTGTTGCCTCAGCAGGGCTGGTTTCAAGTAAAGACCCTGTAACAGGTAATGAACAGTATTATTCTTCATCCTTGCTCTCTGAGCGTGTCTGTAGACATGCAGGAACAGTTAGTTATAGCATGCCAGAGCAGACTGGAACAGAGCTAGTTCTAGCACATCAGAGCAGACTGGATTAATCAAGTCTGCTGAAGCATGCTAATTAGCTTTGAAATGGCAGCTGGGGTACTTCAAATTAAAGCTCATCAAATGAGTTTTAGTTAAAGTGTCCCTGCCGCCATTTTGAAGTATGATATGCTGATGCACGAGACGCCGCAGGCATTTTAATTAGAGCGGGTCTCAGAGCCGCTCTAATTTAAGCACCCCCCCTTCACCCCAAAGGCCATGTGAAGATGCCTGAGATGCAGAGAGATGAACACTTCTCGCAACACCATTCTTCATATGGAAGAGCCACTGTGGATACCAAATTCACAGGGAGAATTTGAACAGAAGAGTCATTTCAAAAGTCTGCTTTGTTTAGCAATTTCCCTAAAATCTACAAAGAAATTTAAGGAAACAAGAGGTCCAGGAAATAGCTAATTACAATATTTTCCTGCATACCACTTGCCCGCCCCACCCCCCAATAAGATATGCACCTTGTTTCTGGAAGGCAGAATGTAGGAAAAAAAGACTTCTCCTGTCATGGCCAGGAGCTGACTCCATGCAGCAGCTCACACACCCTCAGCCAGCTTCACTGCACTCCTGGCAAAAGCTACTGGTAACCCTTTCATGTCCAGTGCCATATCAGTAGCAGCTTTTGGAGGCTCAGGCAAAAAAATTACTGTCAATTCAGGGCTAACACTTGAATTCAGGATTAACACCTCCATCCATGCTGCTGGCTGGCCCAGAGGGAAGTGACAGCTTCTTTGGCCGCCATGACAGCACAGCGTCTCCATGCCTGTATTCTTTCATGATTCTAGGCCTGTGATGAAAATCAGCTTCCCTGCCAAGAACATGCACCACATTTTGGAGGACTGATGGGGAGGGGAATGCATGGGGCACGGGAGTAAATATGGTACTTCTTTTGCAGAAAAAATATGCACCCTGGACCCCTGTTTTAGAATTATGGGTCCTGCGTGCTGCTGCTCAGACAGAAAGAAGTAAAGTGACAAATGACACATGGCAACACCCACCCTTCCCTGCCCAGTATAATGGCCTCTGAAGGGAATTCCAGCTACTCATCCTCAGATGAAAGAAAGTCTTTGCAAACCACAGCCTTAAGAAGGGCAAAGGGAGGGAAGTAAGCTAAGAAGCATGGAATTAAAAGAGCCCAGTAGAGGGGATTCCCTTTCCTTCTACCTCAAATAGAACATAACCCCAAAATGGCAAGGTGAGAATCTAGAGGTAACACTGAGCACTTCTATAATTAACTGTTTTCATCCTCAAACAGCTCCATACATTTTAACTAACCGAGGTGGGTGCAAGTAACAGTTGAAAACATCTGAAAGCGAAAATTAATGAAACTGAGAATGAAAGATTATACACCCTGAAGACAACAGCATTTTAACACAATATGTTAAGAAATATATTTTCACCAGAGGCACAATACAAGAAGAACAATGGTGTTTTCATACCATTAGATAACTTCCTCTTAAAGGTAGATATCTTAGATGGGCTCATGGACGACCACTCGCCTACGCCGCCGGTAACAGAGCTCTCCTCCTCTTCATTTGCAAGCAAAGAGTTTCTGTACCAAACCAAGGGGTGCCATTCATCTCCTTTGCAGAACCCTGGCTCTGTTATGTATCTCTGTAAGTAGCCATACCTGGAGAAAGCCAAAAAGCAAGAATAATAAAAAAAGTCTTCTGCTCTGGGAATGTAGAGTAAGCATTGCTACAAAGGGAGCCCCTCACTTTGCAATGAAGCAGCCAAGACCAGATCTGTCATGAGAGAGAGAGAACACTGCTCTTTTTTCTAGGAAATAAAATCAAGTGTGAAAGCCCCCAAAGCAGAGAGACTTCTTGAACTTTAACATTAGACACAACACTTCATTCCCAGTAATTACAGAGCCACATCAATCTCCTAAAAGAATTTCCTGCACTCTGTAGCCTGTTGCTGCTCTTGCCAGGAAATGGCTTGAACTTGGTTAGGCTCTTCAAAGATGCTCATTTCTCTTGGGAACTGAGAGGCCTTGTCTTGCCTCCTCAACTGTTGAGCAGTGGGAAACCTAACTGAGGGGGGGCTGCCTCTGCTGAATAGTGGAGCTGGTTGGGAGACTTTTTTCCCCCACATTAGAAAACGATGATGTGCCAATAACTAATCTTTTTGCTGGAATGTAACAGTTTTGATTAAGCCTTCTCAGGTCCAGGATGGTTTTTACAAAATACCTACCAGAGCAGTGGCCAAAGCACCCATGTTGGGCATGAGAATCCCAGGTTCATGTCTGTTTCGATCAATTTGGGCAAAGGACTTCCATATCCCAGGTGAACAACCTCATCAGATTACTGGCTATCCTGAGTTAGGCACATCTCCCTCACTCTCTCTAGACATTGTTTTTAAATGTTTCCCACTCAGTTCATTTTAACAAATAGGAACTTTGCTGAACCAGACCACAGAATTACAACCTGGACCTGAGCTTAAATCTCTTTCAAATCAAGCCTATTGCTGCTAAGCCAGGTCCACCTCAGACCAGAAGGCACAGTTTTAATACTGGCTTGTACAGTAGATTATTCTTTCTTTGATTATGAGGATGGTCTGGAAAGTATCAGACACTTTGCAAACTAAGAAAGCCAGTCCCAGGGGCAGAAAGTGGGGGGTGAACGCTGAATCAGAAATTATTGCAGTCACCTACCCTGGAGGCCCCAGGGGCTTAGAAAAACTCTGACAATGGAATTTGCTGTTTTCAAACAAGTGTGTATTGCAGCTACTATTTCAGGATCTAATCCAACTCCCAGCACTGTTCGTAGAAGACTAATTTGCCTTAGACGAGAGAGAGAGAGAGTGTGAGTGTGCGTATTAAATGAAACGAGAATACGTCATCAACAGGGTGGGCAGATTTTGTACAAGGCTGCTAAATTCCCTGATGATGATTCAGGAATCAGACCTTTTTTGTAGCTCATTATTTGGTTGTCTCTATATAAGGTTTCCTAGCAAAGACCAACTAACTTACCAGTAACATTCTGCTGCTATGATCTGGGTAATTACAGGAGGAGGAAAAAGTTAAATTCCATATACTTAGACATGTTGAAATATACCCCTTTCTAACAAATGCCCACATTCTGCATCTCATCTGTAATGGATGCATTCACATATGTTAATATACAGGTCTGAACACCAATCCTATGATTAATAATAAAAACTGAAAATAACCAGATGTTTATTCTCAAAAGTTCATGTTGACTTAAAACATTCCACCCTGTAATTTATGATGCAGCTAAACCTAAATATTTCTAAGAGGAAATATAATCTTCAGCCTCTGCAAGGCATTTTGAGACTCCCAGAATAGAAACTGTTACTTTAGAAACACAGCTTGAATGCAGAGTTGTGGATAAAACTGCAGCCCCCTTCCCCTCCCCTACCAACTCTACTGCTTTCCATTTATATCCAGCAGAGGTAGGCAACTCTAAAGCAGTTGGAGCTAGAGCTTGAAAAGAGTTTTCTGCTTGGATCCAGATCCATCCAGCAACAACAAGCAAAGATCCAACCAGTAGGGAAAATCCTACTTTCCTGGGATGTGCAATTACGAAAAACATTGAATACAGTCAAGAAAAATCATCAGGGAGGGAGGGGGAGTATTTTTCGTTCTTTTTTTGGTTGGTTGGTTGGTTTTTTCCACAATGCATTTCTCTGTTATATGTGTTTGTTATTCTGAATTTTTCACTAAACTAAATCCTGAATAAACGTTGTTTGCCAAGGATTGTAAGTCACATGACATCAACATCCAACAACCACTCTTGATCTTTGCCATGCAAAAGTGAGTTGATACACTCTGCAGAAGATAAGGTCCAGTTCAATCCAGGCTGATACTGTCTGTATGCTTTAAGTATCCTGTCACATGCTGGTCATAAAGGAGTGTAGCAAAATATGGGCTTTTTCATCCCACTGCTTGGTTTCTGTTCAGTATGAGACCACTCCAACTGGGACAACTGTGAATTTCTGAGACATTTACAAACAAAAAATCTATTGATATTTAATTTGAAGCTTGTGAGTCATGAAACAGACTTCCTCAATGTAATAAGGATTTCCCTTTTTATTTGCAAGTAATACAAATGGTAGATTGTTTTCCATATGCATGACCCCCGCTACTGGCTGAAAAAAATGTCCCTCTAACCAAACTTCTCACAAAAAATGAATAGATTTCCAAAGTTTTCCTAACCAACAAGGGGTATCCAAGCAATTCCTCCTCAGCACAGATCAAGAAACCCATTCTACAAAACACACAAATTTGTGCACAGCTTCAGGTATGTGCTGTGCTGTGCTGTACTCTACACAAAACAGTGAAATTCACTTGTTTGACAATAAACAAGGAAATTAACTTACACTAGTCTTTTGTCAGGCTTTAGTAGCTTATTGGAGAATTCACTGATGATTACCAGAAAGTGTAAATTTGGAGGCACGCATTTTCCTTCTACTGCAGCATTCTGAAAGGCAAATTCAATCCCTTCCCTAACAGAGGGAAAATTATAAAAGAGGGACAATGTAATTGAACAGAGGAAACAAAGACAAGGCCAAAAGCAATGTATGATTGCATGGCACATACTTGTGTATCATAGCTACTGATTCCCTGGATTTCACCTGGTCCCAGCCAAATGTCAGCGAGAAGCGACGAGCAAGCTCCTTAATGTTCATGAAGGAGGTGGATGACAACTCCATGCTGTTGCTACTGCCAAGGGCATTGATGTGCTTCTGAAACAGCTGCAAAGCCACAGACATCTGCATGTTACCTTCTATATGTAATAAAAGCATCAGGAAGACAACCTGCTTGCCAACCATTAAATTCCTTGTGTGGATAGAAACTTTTCAAAGTGATAGCCAAGCAAATAAAAAAATTAAGAAAATGTATTTAGGATTTCTGTTTCACTCATACCCGTGAGCTATATCTGAGTGTTGTATGAGGAAACTGCCAGGAAGGACACAATTGCACTGAGCACAGAGGACCAAATTAAAACAGTCAACAAATATATAGCCAAATGCTTCCTACTCCACCCCTCCTCCTTTTCAGATTTCAGGGGTTAGTTCATGGCGTTCGGCTGCTGACAACATGTGTAAAATCAGCCAAGCTCATTTTTCAGTCATTCTAGAAGTCTGCCCTATGGCTTGGAGTATGACATGGACACTGGACAAACAGATGTCACGAGCAGCCCCGCCAAGAGCAGCCACTAAAACTGATTAGCAGATTCAATACTGCACCTGCAAGCTCCAGTGGTTACAAGCCTCAAAGAAGCTGCACAAACAGAAAACTGGCAGATATTTTATGAGGCTTCTGCCTTCTCCAATAAACTCAAGGTGCACTGATACGTCGGTCCGATATCAGGTTGGTACCAATATAAAGAAAACTGGCTGTATCAGATATTGGCCCAATGGGGCTGATAATTTGGCTGATAAATGCCCATGCTGTGAGCAGCTGCAGCCCAGCACTCAGGCACTGAGAAGCACAGCTGGCAGCATGGAGAGCTACCTCCAGCTGGTAAGCCTGGTGTGGTGGAAGGGGAGGGGGGAGGGAAGGGGCATGGGGGGCTGATCAACGCTCCCCGTGGTAAGGGAGGAGGCAAGGACAGGCGCTGCCCAGGTGGGGTTGAGAAGGGCTGGAGCTGCGGCTCATTGTGGGGGGAGGGGGGAGACGGCTCCCACCACTGCTTCCATCCCTGGAAGGCACAGGTGAGGGGGTGCCCCCTGGATCTGTGCGGGGCGGGGTGGAGAGGACTGCTGCCAGGGCTGCATGGGGCTCTTCTCGGTGGGGCCTGGGATCAGAATGGGCACCAGCGGTGCTGGGAGGATGTTACATCCACCCCAAATTTCACCACCGCTTCGCTCCCAGTGCTACCACCGCCAGCCACCTGGCGCAGCCCTGGCTTTTCCTGGCGCGTGGGTGGAGGTGGGACGTTGAGTCCCACCCCACACAGATCCAGGGTCACCTCCCCCCCCGCACTGTGCCTTCCTGAGGTGCAAGCAGTGGCAGGAGCCGCCTACCCC